TGCGCACTCTCTGGTTTTTCCGTTTTCTCTTCCCAAGCAAAACAAAAAGAGCTCCCAGGATCCTAGGAGGAAGCTCCCTCCCAAACTGGGGAAAGCCTTCTCCATCCTTAGGGTCATAGCGCCAAGGAGGAGGCCTGTACTTCTCCAGCATATCCCAGGGGTCCAGGAGCAGACTGTAGTATATCACATCTCTCATTACCTGAGCCAAGCAAGTCATAGGCTTGGTACATTCTTCCTGGGTTTGTTTGAAACTTGAATTTTGAAGCACCGTTATGCTCACATGATTGCTGAGGGCTCTGGCTACATGGATCTCATCAGCTTTCTCCTGCTTGCTGTGGCAGGTGAACCATTGGTCTATCAGCCCTGTTGCACAGCCTGTGAGCAGCTGGAAAGCAGCTGGCTCAAGCGCAGTGAGAGTGTGAAGACAGGAATCTTGAACACAGAGTCCAAATCTACCAATGCCACATCTGGTGCCTCCACACTGAGAGCATCCAAAGATGCTTGCCACCTTCCCAAGCCTGTTAGCTTTACTTTCCTTTAAGTTTATGTTATTTGAAAGGTATAGTAACCCTTCAAAAGAGAGAATCAGGGACTTAACCTGGTGAACCACAGCAGGCATCCCATACCCCATAACTTTCAGCTTACATTCCACACGAGAAACCTGGAACAAAGCACATCCTGGACTCTGGATATAGCAAATACCAAATGAAACTCCTCTGAGCGTGCGCATCAGGCGGATGTGCGCTGCTGTGCAGCGATGGGTTACTCTCTCCACGCTGGAAAGCCATAGGCACCAAGCACTAAGCAAAGACCTTCCTCAGCTCTGTATTTAATAGTTTCATGTTGGGGCAATATTGTCATTTGAGTATGGGCCTTGGTGCCAGACATGAGAGATGTGGCCTTATGACTGAACTACACAAATGATGCATTTACAGAAAGAAGTCTTGCTATGTAATGTAAGGTACAGAGGTCAAATCGAAGTTGTCTTCTGTAAGTTTCCTGATGGGTATGTTCCCTATCAAGCTCAGCATGCAGCTTTGGCGATGTGGTGGTTAAGCCGGCACTTGGGAGACACACAGTGGAGAGTCTAGTTTGAATCCTGGTTACTCTGCTTCTGACTCGGCCGCTTGCCACTATGCACCCTAGGAGACAACAGGTGATGGCTCAGGGAATAGGGTCCCTGTCACCCAAATGTAAGACCCAGACTGAGTGCTTGATCCTGGCTTCAGCCTGTGCAATTGATGGAATATCTCTCTTCATTTTCTCCCTGTATTCAAGTAAAATTAAAATTTACATTAATTTTTTTTTTTTTTTTTTTTTTACAAAAAGAGGTACAGTTCTGCTCCCATTGGCTATGTGACTGTTTAGTGTGCATGTGACATATATTTCATCTATCTATCTGAATTTACATGGCAGGTATGGGTGTTGAGGAACAGGAGGTTAAACCTCCACTTGAGATATTTACATCTAATATCACAGTGCTTATTGGAACCCTAGCTACTCTGCCACTGATCCAGCTTCCTACTAATGCACCCGAGAAGGCAGCAGATGATGGCCCAAGTACTTGGGTTCCTACCACCCACATGGGAGACCAGGGTGGAGTTTCAGGCTCCTGACTCTGGCCTAGTTCAGCTCAGGGGAATGTATCAGTGAATGGAAAAAGTTCTTTGACACACCTAAAAACTGGGCCCAGCGGCATGGCCTAGTGGCTAAAATCCTCACTTTGAACACACCAGGATCCCATATAGGCACTGGTTCTAATTCCAGCAGCTCCACTTCCCATCCAGCTCCCTGCTTGTGGCCTGGGAAAGCAGTAGAGGACGGCCCAAAGCATTGGGACCCTGCACTCCCCGTGTGGGAGACCTGGAAGAAGCTCCTGGCTCCTGGCTTCAGATTTACTCAGGTCCTGCCATTGTAGATGCTTGGGGAGTGAATCATCAGACAGAAGTTCTTTCTCTCTGTCTCTCCTCCTTTCTGTATATCTGCCTTTCCAATAAAAATAAATAAATCTTTTTTTAAAAAAAGAATTTTTCACACATAAACTCACCTTTTAATTCCATTTTCTGAAACGTTAAAAATTTCTTTTGTATACTGAAATAAAATGTTTCAACTAACGTGTCACCAAACTCCCTGGTTGATATTGTCCCACAAGGGGACCACTGTGTTGTTTCAAATAACCATTCAACCTACTTATGCAGCACAAGCAAAAAAAAAATATACAGCTCTTGATTTGTGCACAGGGCAAATGCCTTGGTTTTCTTGATTCTGGACATGGCTCCAGTCTGCCAGCATTGTTAGGGAAATTAAATGTCAAATTCATCCTAACAATTTTGCACTAATCCTGGCTCATCGCAGGGCTCCCTATTTGACCATTGTTATTATCACAGATAACGATGCTGATGAATCCATTCCACGCTCACCCATCCTTTGGACATGATCCACTTCCCTCTGAGGGCTCACAGGACGCTCCTGCCTGCCCTTGAAAACCGGACTCTTCTTGGTTTCACCTCTTCTTGTTGCAACTCTATCACTTCCTTCAGTTCCTGAACTTACTCTGTTCTCTTAACCTCCAGGCCCAACAATGTGCGGTCTCTTTGCTGGAATGTTCTTCCTGCAACACAGGTCTTCCTGCCCTAGCCCCTGTTTGTTTAATCTCCGAGTCATCTTTCAAGTCTGGCTTAGAATCTTTATGCTTGTGCCTGCCTCCTCTCTTCCCATGAGCAAATGTGTTCTTTGTCTCCCATGGCCCATACTAATTCATTCATTCACTCATTTGGCAAATCTTGATGAAATGTCTATTACAAGCCATCACACTCTATTACCATTTTCTTCTTCAACATTTCCTAGTATAGAATATTGCACTGTGTACTCACATATCACAAACTTGATACTTTCAAGGGTACAATTTGCCGATTTTTAGTCTAGTCACAGATTGTGCAACCAGCATCATTTTCTAATCCCCGAGCACTTTCATTGCTTCAAAAAGAAACCCGTTAGTAGTCATTCTCCATTTCTTCATCCTCCCAATGCTGACTGTTCTATCTCAAAGGATTTTCCCACCCTACACATGGAAGTGGAATCATACAACACGTGGTCTTTTATAACTAGCTGCTTTTATTTAGAATTATGTTTTCAAGATGCATGCATGTTATAGGATGTATCAGTACTTCATTCCTTTTAATGACTGAATAATAATCTGGTTTGTGGCTAGACTGTCTTTGGCTAATCTGTTTATCATTGGGTTGTTTCTACCATTTGGCTATTTCCAGTACATTGGCATGAACATTTGTGTACAGATTCCTGTGTTATTTTCTTGAACCTAGGAAGGGGAGCTACTGGGTTACAGTGTAACACTTTCGGGGGTGTGTCAAGCTGTCTCCCAAGGCAGCTCCATGTTTTACAAACCATCAGCAACACACAAGCGGTATGATTTCCCCTCTTGGCATCAGCATGTCTTTATCCCCTGCTTTCCCATTGGTTCCAGCCCTTTACATGCTGGTGGGAAATGATTCTTCCCAAGTGTCTCACTCCCTAAAGCATCCTGGACTCTAGCATAGCGCCTGCCACTCACTAGATACTATGTGGTTAAATACACTATAAAAGAGATTGAATGAATAAAATCAAAAGTAACTTGGATGACCACAATGGTTACTGTGCATTTAGCTGTCCACATGAACCTGTTTGTAAGGCATCTTTGCCTCTACAAATCCCTCTTTAGTTTTTATAGTTTTTTTCCCTAGGAGGAAATTAGATACATTTAAGCTTTCTCTTTTTTCTTTAGGTCATTCATTTGAGGTTTTTATGCACTTGAAAGGCAGAGGACAGAGAGGGAAGGAGGGAGGGAGAGAGGAAGGGAGAGAAAAAGACATACACACTTTTATCTGCTGGTCACTCCCCCAGACTATGCTTTCTGGTTTTCTTTTACACCCGGTTTGGAAATGGGGATAGATGATGCTAAGGTGCAGCCGTTAGTGCTTGGACACTGGTTACTCAATGATTAAGTGGATGTGACAATGTGATAAAGATGGGGACCGAGGTGAGAAGGTCGCTCTTGGTTGCAAAATGCAGACTTGGTCAGCAAATATTTGAGTATTCAATGTGTCCACAGTCTCCTGGTGTTGCCAGAATGCTTGGCAAACAACACTGTGGTCCACGTTGGGCAAGGGGGTTTCCAAATATTGTTTTTTGTCGTGACTATGCCTTTTCATGTTTGATAACACACCCACTGATTTTGAGAATTACATTTTAGCAAAGAAATCGACCAATTTACTTAATGCCCCAGATAGGAAGTTCTGATCTGATGTCAGCAAAATCCCGGGGCACTGTTTATCATAAACAGCTAATATCCCCAGCTTCAGGACATCGGGGTCCTTGCGTGGGGAACCTCCAAAGGAATGGACACCATGTCCACCAGAGGGTGCTGTGGGGGCAAATTTGGACTGGGAGGGAAGATCGACTGGTGACCCTCAGAGCCAGGTAGGCTTCTGGAGTAATTTTTATCTTCCCCCATTCCTTCTCCACCCCTTCCCCGTCTTCTTCTCACCCCAGGTTACCGTCGCCGCCCCTCCCCCACAGGTGGTTTCCCCCTTCAACCCTCCCCACCCCGCAGAAGAATTAGTCACTTTTGGGGACTTTCAGGAGAAGACGTCAGGCCGGTATTGCCGAAGTCCCCTAGGCTCAAGGCCACTCAGGTCACAGGCCAGCTGGAGGCGGCCGAGCGTCTGGGCACCACCAGCTGCAGCAGCGGCGGCCGGGGCGGCGAAGGGGTTAAGCCGGCGGGGGGAGGGGGCGGGGGCGCGGGCCGCGCCTGCGCTCTGCCGCCCTCCATTGTCTCCACGGCGGCGAGGAGCGCCGGCCAGCGCTGCCCGGGACCGAGCGGGCCGGCGCGCCTGGCGGGGCCGGCGGCGGCGGCGGGAGCTCGAGCGCGACGCGACGCGACGCGGCCGCGGCTGTGGGAGCTGCGCCCGGCCGCTCGGCGCCCAGCCCGCCCGAGGCGGCCGTGCGTGGTGGCCGCGTCCTGAGGCGCGGGGGACGCGCCTGGCGGCGCCCCCGGTCCCTCGGCCGCCTCCTCCGGCGCCTCCCAGCGCCTGCCCGCCGCCTCCCGTCCTCTCTGCCTGCGGCTCGCCCGGCTTTCGGAGCCCGGGGGCGGCCTGTGGCGCGCCGAGCCCGCGCCGGACTGCGCCTCTTTGGACCTTGAAGGGAACCATGCGTCTGGCTTGGAGCGTTTGAAATTCTTAGTTTGGGGTGCCCACCCGCCCGCCTGCCTCTTCCCCACCCCCCATCCCCTTGCGGGATTTTTTTTTTCTTCTCTTTTTCTCCCTCCGGGTCTCCTTTTTGACTCCCTCTTCCCCCCTTTATGCTCGCCCAGCCCTCCCCCCGCTGCTGAGAAGTGGGGGAGGGTCTCGGCTCCCAGGTACCCGCCCCACCGGGGCCCGGGCGAGCATGGGGGGCAAGCAGAGCACGGCGGCCCGCTCCCGCGGCCCCTTCCCGGGGGTCTCCACCGATGACAGCGCCGTGCCCCCGCCGGGAGGGGCGCCCCACTTCGGGCACTACAGGGCGGGCGGCGGAGCCATGGGGCTGCGCAGCCGCTCGGTCAGCTCTGTGGCGGGCATGGGCATGGACCCCAGCACGGCCGGCGGGGTGCCCTTTAGTCTCTACACCCCAGCCTCCCGGGGGACCGGCGACTCGGAGAGGGCGCCCGGCGGTGGAGGGTCGGCGTCCGACTCCACCTTTGCCCACGGCAATGGTTACCAGGAGACTGGCGGCGGTCACCATAGAGACGGGATGCTGTACCTGGGCTCCCGAGCCTCGCTGGCGGATGCTCTACCTCTGCACATCGCACCCAGGTGGTTCAGCTCGCACAGTGGTGAGTCTGCTGCTGGCAGCGGCGGGGGACGGATGGGGGGGGGTGGGGGGAGGTGAGCCTCCGAGGCGGGAGTGCAAGTTGTCGCGCGCGCCAAGGTGTGGGGACGGAGCGCACGACCTACATGTGTGTGTGTCTTCTCTTGGGTTGTTGGTGCTGAAGGCTGAAAGATATCCAGCCTCTACAGCAGAGGCTGACCGGCTGCGAGGCTGCCAGGCCGGGCATCTTGGGCCTCCAGGTGTGTGATCGCTTGTGGATGGGCAAAGTGGAACCTGCCCGTGGAAGTCCCTTTCATTGACATCTCTGTGCTCAGCCAATGTGACTGAGCTGCTTCTTGCCTGCCTCACTGTGAGCAGGCAGCAGGATCCACTTTGACCCAGCAGCATCTTTTAAACAAAGAGTATGAAAACCAGTGAGTGACATTGGAGTGGTAGTGGTGGTAAATGTGCTTGGAACAGGGCTGTGAGAAGGTAAGGGGCCCCAGTTTTGCCAGCAAGCTGGACATCTCTTTGAATTGTGGCTGGCACAGACAGGTGTGGCCTGCTGTAGGCTGGGCCCAACCACACAACCTGCCTCTGGGCTCCCTGTAGGACCAGAGCTCTGGTCACCCGTGCTGCATGCAGCAGCAGCAGGCTCACTTGGCCAGCGACTCCCATCCCTCCATCTTTTCTTTTCCACTCCTCACTCTTCCCGTGAATCTGCATCTTTGTGGAACCGAGCGCCTGGCGAGGTGGGTTGTGATTGCCCGACTGTGGGCACATGACAGGGGAAGAGGAGGTTTCACAGAATGGGGAGGGGTTCATTTTGGTGAACTTCTGGTGGCAGGGCAGCAAAGGGCTGCGGGAGTAGGGGACCAGCCTTAGGGTGGAATGAGGATTTCCCAGGCTCTATTGGACAGAACAGAAGAGGCCTGATGGGGGTGGGTGTGGGGCTAGGGAGGAAAACTGGTCCCTCTGCCTGGCTGTCCTGGGAACCAGGTCTGCCTTCTCGAAAACTGGTCAGAAGGGTGTGGGGCTGCTGTGTGCTAATGGGCAAATTGAGTGAAGAAGTTGCATATTCAGATTCCTCAGGGCTTGTTAGGAGAATTCAAAAGACTGTATGGGAGCAAGGTTGCCCCTGTTCTTAGGTTACTTTATGGAAGGCACTATCAGATCAGCGTTACAGCTGTTTTGAAATAGGGTAGACTTTTTTTGGATGTCTGTCTCCTCCCTTCCTCCTTCTGTAAATAGTCTGCTTTTTTGAGGGGGGAGGGTTATTCTATAAACTTTTATTTAAAAAAATAATTGTGGGGGACAAATAGTGACCCTTAGACTGGGGGGGGATGGAGTTTTGGCCCTGCCTAAGTCCCAGTGTTCCTGAGTGAGGTGCAAGGCGTGACTGCCCTCAGCACTGTGAAGCACCACATCAGCTCTTGGCGTTGAGGGCTTGAAGATCTTTCTCGTGAAATTTTGCACGGGAAGAGCTTGCTGTGTTTGTAAGGTGTGACCTGCAGTTGAGAAAGAACTGTCATCGTAAGCATCTTGTTTGAAGTTGAAGAGCCCTTTAGAGTCGTGTGTGTAGCTAAACAGATCTGCTTGGTGGGGAATGCAGAAAGGGAGTCCTTGGTGCTGGAATTTCTCAAGTTTGTCTTTTCCTGGAAACTTTCATATCCTTATCCCCCTGACAGCTTCCGTGCTGGAGGTAAGGGGCTTCCGGTTGGATTCCAGAATTTCACACTCGTTGGCTGTGCTGTTTGTACTTTTCGCCCCTTTCATTTGGACTGAGGGTTAAGACTTGCTGAGCTGTGAAATGACAAGGGAAAGTTGGAGCATAATAATTCTCTCAGAAAGGGTGTCTGAACTGTGTGTGTGGGAGGCCACTATTAATACTTTGGGCAATACATTTTTTGACTGAGTAGGACATCCTGTACCTACTAAATGCAGTGTCCTGCACTGCTGTGTGTCATCCCAAAATGTCCCCCCAAATTCCTAAATGTCCTGCGGAGGTGGAGGTACTTTGGTGGTTGCGATCCCTTGTTTTAGCAGTTCATTCTTGGAATCAAGTGAAATAATATTTGTGCAGTCATGGTTCTGTCTCACCTCCTGGAACGTGACAGAATCCTCTGGGATGTCCCTTTGCTCTGTGGTTGGTTCATCGCTGCCGGGGGAGAAGCTCCTTCCGACTTGGGGGCCTTGGAGGAAGGCGTGAGTGGATGCTGCTGGTGTGGTCCACAATGAGGAAGCTCTGGGTCTGGGCACAGCCAGCCAGATGCCTGCTGCTGCTACACTGCTGCTGCTGCTGTTTTTAAGGTACTTTGGAAATACCTCATGGGCTCAGGAAACAGTTGTCCATGAAATAGGCACATTCACCGTCCACGGGGCCTCCCCCCAAAGGGTGGGTTTATCCAGTGTGTGAGATGGAGGCCTGAGGGGTCCCCATCCCAGATCTCCTGAGTGCTTCTGGCCTCTTTGTAGCCTTGTCTTTTGTTTGGTGTGGTGTTCCTGGGCAGTGGTGGCCTGTACGGGTTTTCTGGAGCCCTGGAGGACACTATGAACACTTGTGTATTGGTTCATTCACTGCCCCATGCTCTTCCCTCATACATCCTGTTCTCTAATGCCTGGCATGCTTTTCCTACAATTCTTCAGGCATGGAACCTCCATCCCTTAGGGCCCATCCAATATTTCTCCTTGAAGTTGACCCTCAAAAATGGTCCCTCTTGCTCTCACTCTCTCCCGTCATTCACTTGTTACCTTACTAGTTCTTAGAACACATTACAAATGTAATTTGACTTTCTTCCCTTTCATTTGGACTACATTCCACATTCCATGGGTGCAGGAGGGTGTCCCTTGACTTCCATGGTAACTCACCCTACTCTTGGCACAAATGCTGGTTGAGTATGTGAATTTGAGTGCTCTGTCATCTCATTTTATCCTCTCTGTGATCTTTAGAGCTACGATGCGGGGAAGAAAACAGATTTAGTGGGATGGGAAGAGACTCAGACAAGATCAGACGGCTAGCAGGTGACTGAGCTGGGATTGGAATGTGGGCCTGCAGGTACCAGAACCCACCATCCTTACCTGCTGACATGTGTGGAGGTGGGGTAGTGTCATGGGAATGGCCTTCGAGAACTGGGCTTATCTCCTGGTTGGCTTCTGATTAACTGCCTGGCCTGTGGCATTGGGCAAGTTGAGTCATTTAGCCTCCTGTTTCTTCGTCTGTAAGATGGAGACACCGCCTATCCTGCTTACTTTGCACAGTTGTCTTGAGGGCCTCGTGAGAATTTAATGTCTGCAAAAACCAAAGGGCCAGACATGGAAAGTGACTGGTGTTCCGTATGGGTGCTTCTGGTTCTCTGCTTTGCTGTTTTTTTTTTTCCTCTAGTTTTTGAAAGATTTATTTTATTTATGTGAAAGAATTAGAGAGAGAGAGAGGGACACAGAGAGATTCCATCTGCCGTCCACTTCTGCTCACATCTGCTGTGCCCAAATGGCTTCAGACTAGTGCTGCTCCAGGCTGGATCCAGGAGCCTGGAACTCCCTCTGGATCTCCTGTATAGGTGACAAGGGTCCACATCCTAGGGCCATCTTCCACTGCTTCCCCAGGCGCATTAGCAAGAAGTTGGATAGGAAGCAGAGCAGCTGGGATGCTAGTGCCCTAGGCAACCTACTTGTCCTGCTGTGCTATGATTCTGGCCCTATAGTTCTCTGCCTTCTTGAATCTCTTCAGAGCTTGATGGCAGAGTGGTCATGGCCTTGTGAAATGTTGCCCCAAATGAAGGCTGGTGCTGTCTGGGGAATCCTCACCTCCACTGATGAGATGTCCATGGTGAGTGATCCCGTGAGGAGAGCTGCTGTGGACAGGCAGAGGCCCTTCCTATCTGCTTTGCACGAAAGTTCCATGAGGCGGCCACAAGTTGTGCTGGAAGCCTGGGGTGTTCTTTGCAGTCATCTGTTTCTCTCTGAGTGTGGATTCCTAGGTGTGGGCAAACGGGATGCACTGTGGGGGCAGAGGTGGGTGTTTTCCAGGCCTCAGTCTCTGGTGTGTGTTGTGCCTTATCCTTAACCAAACATCAGCTGGAGCTAAGGTGACTTTGTGAAGTCTTTGATTTCGCTGCCTAATTTACTCTAGTGTCAAGGAGAGGGGTCCAGTTGCCAGTGGCATTGGAGTGGAAAGGAAGGCCCCTTTGTGCTTCAGTACAGGTGCCCTAGAACTCAGCAAGCTTTTACTTGGTTTGGGGGAGCAGGAGAAGCCACATGGTCTCCTGAGCCACAGGAGGCCTGCCCTTAATGCAGGCATTTTCTTAAAGCTGAATTTTTGGTTCTCCATTTGTGAAGGCTTAGTTCCTCATAAAATAAAGTTAACCTTGAGGCAAAGACGGCTTCTTGAAGGTCATAGCTAGCTCTTGGTTGTGGTTCAAAGGGCATTGTACACAGTGATTTAACTCTTAGGTTGTTTGTTTTGTGGGATGTGTACCTTTTGATATTAAACAAAGTTCCACCCTAAATTTTCACAAGGAATCCTTTAAGCCAGGTCAGTCTCACCCAAAGAAACACTGTTCTGGTTCCTTTTAGGAAAAGTAATCTGGTTTGTGTTTTACAAAAGTGACACTTCAGCCCAAGCTTTTGGGGCACTGAAACTTCAGTATGCCCAATTATATGACTTAACTTCAATTTTGATGGCTTCAGAATTGGAGGAAAAAAACTTTGTAGAGAAATTATGGTAACTTAAATGGGATATTGGTCCTACCCCTACTACCCTTAAGCAGTGGGGTGTTTTTGATAACAATGGGTCACTGAGGTTGTGGTACTAGAATCTTAACATTTTCCCACACCCTAAATCCTAGACTCAGGCTTTTAGAATGATGGCTAAGTACGAGTTTTGGTGTGTTGCTTTTCCTAGCTCTGTCACGGCCTAGGCTGAATCAAATGGTTCATTGTGACTTTTCTCAGCATTAGGCTTGAGAGTAAGAAGGGATCCAGTAGTGTTATCTCCTGAATTTTCTGTTCTTACAAGGACACAGGTTT